AATAAACATGCTCAATGAATCCACATCTCTTAATAGCATTGATTTTATTTCACAAATGTCATGCTGCTTTGTATAATGTATGGCAGGGTGTTACGAAGATAATTTAACCGCATGCTTGGGTGTGTTTTTACACTTCATTTCATGTCCTCCTTTGCCCTCCTGCATGTGTTCCTCTGCCCTCCCGCATGTCCCCCTCTGCCCTCCCACGTGTCCTCCTCTGCCCTCCCCCATGTTCCCCTCTGCCCTCCCCGTGTCCTCCTCTACCCTCCATCGTGTCCTCCTCTACCCTCCATCGTGTCCTCCTCTGCCCTCCCGCGTGTCGTCCTCTGCCCTCCCGCGTGTCGTCCTCTGCCCTCCCGCGTGTCCTCCTCTGCCCTCCCAAGTGTCCTCCTCTGCCCTCCCAAGTGTCCTCCTCTGCCCTCCTGTGCTTGTCCTCCTCTGCCCTCCTGTGCTTGTCCTCCTCTGCCCTCCTGTGCTTGTCCTCCTCTGCCCTCCCACGCGTGTCCTCCTCTGCCCTTGCCCGTGTCTAGTGAGCTATATTCTGATATATAATATCACTGCTTTTACATATAAAACAATTCTGAATTCTCTTTTCCTCAGCTTCTTTCCTGTCTGCCCGTAGCTGGCAGGGATTAGACAGATCGCTGGGTCAGACAGCGGTGGTAAAAGCTGTTGAGGGTCGCAGAGGAATCGCCATAGCATATGAGGATGAACTAGAGAGTTGAGAAGATGAACTTAAACCTGCCGCAGGACGATGTTGCCGTCTTGACGGACAATACTGTTGGTGTTGGAGGTCTTTGTCATCTGTTATTGCCCCAAAAGCCCTCCAACTTTAAAAGCTTTAAAGCAAGAAGAAGACATATCTATGTTGTATCAAAGAGGAAGAACAGAAGACAGACCAAATATGATTCTGTGAATTGCAGGACAGAGGTGAACGAGTGCTATATTTCTATATCTTTCAAAAGATAAATGACTGTGCAGGATCTCAAAGCTGCTCGATCCATACGGCTCAGGAGAAAAGGGCAAAGCTGAGAATAATAGCAAGTACTTACCTTCCATCAATAGACAGATCGTTCATTTGATCTTCATTCCCATTGAGACCAGAAATGTCTGGTGTAATAAGATACACGAGAATGGCCATGGTTAGATTGTGAAAGATCTCAGCTACAAATGATTTGTTAAAATAAACCTTGCTGACTGTATATTCATTTGTGTAACTGCTCCTAACCTTGCTGGTTACATATACCAGCATTGGCCACATGAAACAAATCGCCAGCTCTGTAAGTGAGGTGAAGGGCGAGGAGATAACATTATGGTCGGGTCTGGGCAGGTTCTCTTTGACATGACATATTATCTCCTCTGCGTGAATTAGAGACACGGAATGAACGTTGGCTAACTGAACCCAATAGTGAAGTGGTTTTTTTTTTGTTTTGTTTTTTTAATTAAAAAAAACATTTTAATATATTTTTTTATGTAGTGTGGCAGACTGTCCTGGCACAGGCAGGGCATGCAATGCAAATTTGTAACCTTTACGTTGCCATGAGGGTTCATGCACATTAATGGCATTGTTGGGGTAATATCTGAGCATGCGTGTACTCATATGGTACTTTCCAAGGAGATGACTGAGTGTTCATGAATGCCCAGAGCGTTGTGAACCGGTGATACTGTTAGGGTGAGGGAATTAGTAAGTGTCACTGTCAGAGAAAGGACAGTTCCTCCTTAAAGGGACATTTCAAGCTGAACAATAACACACTATAGATATCGGCGCAACCATAAATAATTAAAACAGAATGACAGAAAACTTTTTTGATATGCAGCACTCGCTGTAAACCTTGGTAATGCGGTACAAAAATATAAAAGTGTAAAGTGCTGGTGCGCAAAAGATATTTATAAAACCTTAAGTGTTAATTTATATCTTAAAGTGCTTACATAAGTGGAGTGGGTGTTATCCCATATGACAGCCACCTATACCATCACACACATGCATATACTTATACTCTGTACAATATGCACTGTAGGTATCTGTAAAATGGAGATAAAAAGCGAGAAGCACTCCTAGTGCAATAAAGTCATTTAAAATGCATAAACCGCTAAAACCCCCTAGTAGGATAAAACTCACAAATTAGGAGTGGTGTAAGCCCCACTAAAAGCTAATGTGCTTTGGGAGGATCAGTCCCTAGAGAACGTGGGATCCTATATATGCTCTGGTGACTTGGGTAACGGGTAAAAAAAATACTTTAAAAAGCTAAACAGCAAAAACATAAATGGCCACCGTCTGCTCACCAACCCATGGGGAGTAAATCGCCGTCTTCCTCCCTCTGGTTGTAACAGTCCTTGCCAGTGTGCAAGATGTATCCACCTCCTTGTTCCTGGTCCCGTGGTCACGTGACGCGTTTCGCCCCTCCTCGTAGGGCTCGTTTGAGAAAGCACTTTAAGATATCAATTAACACTTAAGGTTTTATAAATACCTTTTGCGCACCAGCACTCTACACTTTTACATTTCAAGCTGAGCCCCATTTTTAATGCAATAGAAAATACGAATTAAAAATACGATACAATTATGTTTATGTATTTGCTGGCACGGGTGTGTGATTCATTTATAGTACAGCCTGCAGCAGAATTGGTGCTAAAGGAAATAAAACCTGCATTGTTTGAAAGGAAAGCAAATGCTGTAAATTAAATTAATTTATTCAGTAATCTGTGAATTGCAGACATTCACATACATCCAAATATCCAAGCCGGAAAATGAATTGGGTAAGATCTCCAAATTGACTTGTTTGGCCTCAAATGTGCAATTTGTTTAGTTAGCTACAATTTCAGGTTTAATGAATGAACCCAAACAATGCCAGCATTCCGCTCCATAAAGACATATCGCTAGAAGTCCAATCTGTCATTCTTACTTTAAAGGGAAAGAATGAAACAATATTTTTTCGATCCGATATACAGTGTAAAACAAGCATGTCAAACTCAAAGTCTAACACGGGCCACATAAACAAAGCTTAAGCAAAAAAAACAAACTACTTACATTTTCATAGAAACGTAGGTTTATTTTTAAACCGCACCCCCCTCTACTAAATCCCAGTCCCCCCTCTATACTAAATCCCAGTCCCCTCCATATACTAAATCCCAATCCTGCCCCTATACTAAATCCCAGTCATCCCCCTATACTAAATCCCAGTCCCCCTATACTAAATCCCAGACCCCACATATACTAAATCCCAGTCCCCCATATACTAAATCCCAGTCCCCCTATACTAAATCCCAACCCCCACATATACTATATCCCAGTCCCCCCCTATACTATATCCCAGTCCCCCCATATACTAAATCCCAGTCCCCCCCATATACTAAATCCCACTCCCCCCTCTACTAAATCCCAGTCCCCCATATACTAAATCCCAGTCCCCCTATACTAAATTCCAGCCTCCACATATACTAAATCCCAGCCCCCACATATACTAAATCCCAGCCCCCCCATATACTGAATCCCAGTCCTCCCCCTCTACTAAATCCTAGCCCCCCATATACTAAATCCCAGTCCCCCCTCTACTAAATCCCAGCCCCCATATACTAAATCCCAGTCCTCCCCCTCTACTAAATCCCAGTCTCCCCCATATACTGAATCCCAGTCCTCCCCCTCTACTAAATCCCAGCCCCCATATACTAAATCCCAGTCCCCCATATACTAAATCCCAGCCCCCACATATACTAAATCCCA